CCACCTTACACTCAGCTGGCAGCCAGTGTAGGAGTGGCTGAGGGTCCTGGGGGCTTGTCCCACCTTACACTCAGCTGGCAGCCAGTGTAGGAGTGGCTGAGGGTCCTGGGGGCGTGTCCCACCTTACACTCAGCTGGCAGCCAGTGTAGGAGTGGCTGAGGGTCCTGGGGGCTTGTCCCACCTTACACTCAGCTGGCAGCCAGTGTAGGAGTGGCTGAGGGTCCTGGGGGCTTGTCCCACCTTACACTCAGCTGGCAGCCAGTGTAGGAGTGGCTGAGGGTCCTGGGGGCTTGTCCCACCTTACACTCAGCTGGCAGCCAGTGTAGGAGTGGCTGAGGGTCCTGGGGGCTTGTCCCACCTTACACTCAGCTGGCAGCCAGTGTAGGAGTGGCTGAGGGTCCTGGGGGCTTGTCCCACCTTACACTCAGCTGGCAGCCAGTGTAGGAGTGGCTGAGGGTCCTGGGAGCGTGTCCCACCTTACACTCAGCTGGCAGCCAGTGTAGGAGTGGCTGAGGGTCCTGGGAGCGTGTCCCACCTTACACTCAGCTGGCAGCCAGTGTAGGAGTGGCTGAGGGTCCTGGGGGCTTGTCCCACCTTACACTCAGCTGGCAGCCAGTGTAGGAGTGGCTGAGGGTCCTGGGGGCTTGTCCCACGTTACACTCAGCTGGCAGCCAGTGTAGGAGTGGCTGAGGGTCCTGGGAGCTTGTCCCACGTTACACTCAGCTAGCAGCCAGTATAGGATTCAGAGCCGGGAGGTTTCATATAAAATCTTTATTAGAACACACTCACACATAGCAAACTGTACAATGGCCAGAGCCGCTCACTCCAGCTGTTTAGTGCGCGATGCCTCTGCGTTGGCCCTCAGTACAGCGCCGGGGCTGGGGTACGGCCGCTGCTGGAAAAGTGGGCCTGCGGCCGTTGTGTCTGCACCGGTTTTGGCTTCGTTTCTTTTTGGCAAGCCCGTGGACCACGACCCCCTGTATGGGGAGAAGAAAAAAATAAATAAATAAAAAGGGATTACACCCGTACTAAATAAACATTTACTGGTTGTGGCGGAACCAGCCTCGCCACTGGGCATTGGAGAAGACTGATTGCCAGCCTCCTGACTTGTGACTATGGTCCCATGTTGAAATGCTTGATTTATCCCTCCAAAGACTCGAAAGCCGGGTCATTCGGTACTTTCCCTATCTGAGCAGAGTTACCCCAGATAGCTATGCCATGGAGCCCATTCATATAACAAAAGACTATGTGAAAGACTTTGGCTCCATGGCAATTGAACTGTATGTATGTGATCTGAGCACCATTCGGTAATGTGCGCTCAGATCTAAGCCATCTGGGGATATGTTGAATAGTGAGGTCCCGAACGGTTCGCCATGGATGGCGGATGTCATCATTGAGTAAACTTTGACCCTGTACCTCACAGTCAGCAGACACATTCCAGCCAATCAGCAGCAGACCCTCCCACCTCCTGGACAGCTCACTAAGAATGCAGCTTCACAATGAATGTAAAATGGATGCTGTCCAGGAGGTGGAGGGTCTGGGAGGGAGGGTCTGCTGCTGATTGGCTGGAATGTGTCTGCTGACTGTGAGGTACAGGGTCAAAGTTTACTCAATGATGACGAATAGGGGGCGGACCGAACAGCGCATATGTTCGCCATCTGCGGCGAACCGTTCGGGACATCACTAATGTTGAATGTACCTGTTTTATGCAATAGCTGCACAGTTATATATATTTATGTATTTTATTGTCTTTTGCTACATGTGGCTAATGGAGTTTTGCCTCTGTCCTTGGAGATAATTGGATTACTTCCCCAATTATCTCCAGGATAGAAGACTCTGTGGAACTGGTTTTGGGCAGAAAAGCCATGCTTCATTTGGTCACAAAGGACGTTGATCTAACTTTTGACCCACTGGACCAATTTGTATGATTTTGATGTATGTTTGTATTTGGCGTATGCGGATTCTGAAAATGTGAGTTTTATGTGAATGTGATGCATACTTTTAGAGTTATGAATATTGTGTAAAACTGTTTATTTTCCTGCCTGTGATAATTACATTACCCATTGTGTAAGGTAATTGTATCACAGGCAGAGGGGAGGATTTTGTGTGGGAGTGTCTGAGTGTATTGTACGTATTGATTGGTTGTTTAACAAAACCCTGTGGGTGGTACTAATGTGTAAGAATGTGTATATAAGAACAATAAATCTACAGCTCTAGCAGTTCTACTTCACCCTCAATCTGAGTCCTGTCTCTTATTGGGGGAATCTGCTACAAGGGATAGTTATTGTGACAGAACCATCTGTCTGCTTGTATTTTAGTTGCATTCGTCTGTTTGTCCCCCGTTCGTATGAATGGCTGGTTTCTATAGCCCAGCCATTCGAATGACTCTTTTTCCCGAACAAACCTGCCGAACGGACGGCCACCCAGGAGAGAAGTGTGCTGCTGGTTAACCTATTGATCCCAATTAGAACGTTGTGGTTAACCGCAGACACTTCTCAATTAAACCGAATTCAGGGTGGTCGTCGTTCGTATGTCGACCACGAGGCAGCGGCCATTTTAAACCACGCGAAAGCCCAGCGGTGTTTGGCTCTATTTCTATGGAACTAAAAACGGACACTTTTTCTGCCGAACACCGCTGAAACAACGGAACGCCTGGCTGCCTCCACGAAAGCATACGAATACCGGCCGTTCGGGAGGTTTGGAGCATACGAAAGGACTTAACCCAGATAGCCTTCCCATGGAGTCATTCGTATACCGAAAGACTGTAAGAACTTTGACTCCATGGCGATTGAACTATGTGTGTGGGATCTGAGCGCTATTCGCCAATAATATGCACTCAGATCCAGGCTATCTGGGGATATGTGATACGAATGGGAAATGTTCGGTTATTTTAAAGTTATGCATTTTTATGTCTTTTATGATTTTATATTTAAGATGGCGACTGGCTTTGTCCTGGAGATAATTTACTGTGGGCAGGTAGCCCACAGTAAAGCCAGATCCTGTTTGACCCTCAATGCGGAGCTTCTGTCTCGTTATTGGGGGGATTTCTTCTTCACGTTTAGAGACTGCTGGATGGAAACAAAAGCCGCTTGGTGGATATTGTTGTTCGGCGGCTAGCAGCAGTTCGTGTATTGCTGTTCGGGAGTTTGGAGCCGTTCACGGATCCCGTTCGGGAGATTGCCGCTTCCCCTGCATTTGGTTCGTGCACTACAGGTTAGGCGAATGGAGTTACTGTTACTGCAGACGGGGAAGGTCTACTAAACGGTGCTTGTCATACTCCCTTGCTAAATCACTACTAAGCTCTTGTAAGAGCTTGTTCCTGCCTTGCTCTCTGGAGGAGTCTACGGTGGTTATGGTGTCGGCTGGAGTGCTTGAAGCCCTCAGAAAGCTCTAGGAGCATCCTCCAACGGAGGTACCCAGTCGGTTAACAGTAACGTGTGAATTTCAAACTTTATGCCCAAAGTCAGCAATGTCTTCAGGTCAGTTTCACAGTTTAGTTAATAAAGCCATATATTAACCCGCTAAGGACGAAACAACTACCCTGAAAGACATATGGAGCCATCTATTAACCCGCTAAGGACCAGGTGACTACCCTGAAAGACCTATGGAGCCATCTATTAACCCGCTAAGGACCAGGTGACTACCCTGAAAGACCTATTGAAGCCATCTATTAACCCGCTAAGGACCAGGCGACTGTCCTGAAAGACCTACGGAGCCATCTATTAACCCGCTAAGGACCAGGTCCTGAAAGACCTATGGAGCCATCTATTAACCCGCTAAGGACCAGGCGACTGTACACGCTCTGAACCAATTTCAAACCTTGAATTTCAGCTATAGGTTTTGTGACAGAACCATCTGTCTGCTTGTATTTTAATTGCATTCGTCTGTTTGTCTCCCGTTTGTATGAATGGCGGGTTTCTATAGCCCAGCCATTCGAATGACTCTTTTTCCCGAACGAACCTGCCGAACGGACGGCCACCCAGGAGAGAAGTGTGCTGCTGGTTAACCTATTGATCCCAATTAGAACGTTGTGGTTAACCGCAGACACTTCTCAATTAAACCGAATTCAGGGTGGTCGTCGTTCGTATGTCGACCACGAGGCAGCGGCCATTTTAAACCAAGCGAAAGCCCAGCGGTGTTTGGCTCTATTTCTATGGAACTAAAAACGGACACTTTTTCTGCCGAACACCGCTGAAACAACGGAACGCCTGGCTGCCTCCACGAAAGCATACGAATACCGGCCGTTCGGGAGATTTGGAGCATACGAAAAGACTTAACCCAGATAGCCTTCCCATGGAGTCATTCGTATACCGAAAGACTGTAAGAACTTTGACTCCATGGCGATTGAACTATGTGTGTGGGATCTGAGCGCTATTCGCTAATAATATGCCCTCAGATCCAGGCTATCTGGGGCTATGTGATACGAATGGGAAATGTTCGGTTATTTTGAAGTTATGCATTTTTATGTCTTTTCTGATTTTATATTTAAGATGGCGACTGGCTTTGTCCTGGAGTTAATTGAGTTACTTGGTCATTAACTCCAGGGCAGAGGGGAGGGAATCATAATGCACTGTGGGTAAAATCTGTGACGGTGTGTCTGGAATGTCCCCATATCTGTCTGTCATTTAAGTCTCCCATTTGGTCCCCTAGGGGAGTGTCCACCAAGTGGGAGACCTGCATAAATACGGGCAGGTAGCCCACAGTAAAGCCAGATCCTGTTTGACCCTCAATGCGGAGCTTCTGTCTCGTTATTGGGGGGATTTCTTCACGTTTAGAGACTGCTGGATGGAACGGAAGCCGCTTGGTGAATATTGTTGTTCGGCGGCTAGCAGCAGTTCGTGCATTGCCGTTCGGGAGTTTGGAGCCGTTCACGGATCCTGGTCGGGAGATTGCCGCTTCCCCTGCATTTGGTTCGTATACTACAGATTAAGCGAACGGAGTTACTGTTACTGCAGCCGGGGAAGGTCTACTAAACGGCGGTTTTGCCTAAAGACACTGGAGGTGTCTTAACAGGTTTGTTCCACTGTAATTTTAGGGATTCTATGTAAGTGCCCCAATACAGATTACATATATAGCTGAGAGCTGGTATTTCACAGGTTAATTCCACTAAAGATCCCAGTGAAGCTCAGGAACAAGTAATAAAATCCCATAGAACAATATTGACAGCAAGCAAGGTAATCCACGAATATCCCCATACAGATCCCAATGACTGGACGACACACAGCATCAGGAGCAGAACTGAACTTTTAATCCACACAACCTTCTTTTAAAGCTTTCTCCCATACAAGGGAGGGATTCACATTAATCAGTACAGTATCCAATAGTGTAACTGTTACCTCCCACACATCTCCTCCCCTCAGTCTGACACATAATCCACTTATTCATACTGCAGTTTTACCCGATTTCTGGATGTACCCCAAAACAGTCAGAATTATATAATGGGTACCCCTGGTAGCCCTGATCTGGGTGACTAACATATTCAAAATTCACCCAGATCAGACCAGGGGTTCGGGAGTTAGGTGGAAGAGGCAATGTGACCGACCGCACACGAGGTAGTATCCGAAAAATGCTCCATGTGTTTTGGCCTTGCGGTCGGTCTCTGTTCGGGAGATAAAATGCATAGAAATAATTGCCATCCAAAGTTAAAATTTGTAGTTGTATTAATTCCCTTATTCGGGACATTTATTTTACCAAACGAGGGGCTGCTTATCCCCTCCGTTCGGGAGTTATGGAGCTCTGGAGGTCTCAGCGGTGTTCGCCTAGTCGAGTGTCCGATTTTAGTTCCAGACACTCAAAGGCAAAACACCGCTGTTCGGGAGTTTAAAATGGCCGCCGCCACGTGTTCGTCTCCCAAACGGCGGCCACCGCGAGGACACAGCACACACTGCACTGATTGACAATTACGGGTTTGCAACATTGTTGCGAACGGTAATTGGCAGCACACTTATTCCTGGGGTGGTCTGATTGTTCGGTAGTTTCACTCGTATAATAAACTGAGTGATTTTACCGAACAATCAGTGGAATGCTGCATACAATACATATGGCAAAAATTAAACGAAAGCATATTACAACACATAATTTTGTAGACAGCACAATGCCATCTGCAACAACACATATATATATCCAATGTTATAGTGCCAGGAAAATGAGTATGTTTTCATGGCACTATAGTGGTCCTTTAATTCGACCTTAACTCCACCTGTAACTCTAAGGTAACCCACTGCCAATATCAATTCTGAAATTAGGAATGGGTTTTAATATATTAGATGGTGGTATGTTAGGTTTAACCCAGCTCACACTAAACCTGCAGGATGCCCATTAATGTCCATTATATTGCCGACGTAATGGCATGCCCAAAGGTCTTTAAGGTTTTAAGTCAGGAACTGTGGAGAACCGACAAGAGTTCCAAAATTACTATTTTAGACACAAAGTAGCAGTGCTCAAAGCTCTGAGCATTCCCTTAGGGAGTAACAGCAGCGTGGATAGCAAAGGTTGCAAGCCTATGGCACATAGGATCCAATCAAGAATCTACCTATCACATGTCAATAGAGCCGCCTCTACAAAGACAAAAACAATCTGGTTTTAACACAGGGTCAAAGTACCTGGGAGCATCTGAATAAGCACTTGGGTCCATGGGATCCAACTCTTCATCTTTTCTTCCTAGAAACAGGGTGAAAAGAAAGGAACTGGTTGGAAATAAGAGTCCAATACTGAAGGAGCAGGGAATGAACCCTCAATGCAGAAACATGCTCACCTTTCTTTGGTTTAGGGTAAGGAGCCACCTCTTCACGGCGTGTAAACCTGCGTTCCTTCACTTCCTCTCTTTCAGCCTTTTCCTCAGGTTCTGAGAAGAAAAAAAAAAACAGGTTATATGGCTCTGGCTGTGACCGGGCAGTGTCCTCTCACACCACAACTTTACCTTTTTGTTTTGAAGTGGTTTTTGTGATTATCGCATTGGGGTCAAGTGGTGACAACCAAGAGACTAGCTCAGACTCCACATTCCAGTAATATGGGAGACCACTGAAAGACAAGACAATGAGCATCATGTTAGAACATACCAGCATTGTAAGGGTACAATGTGAACAGCAGACAGAAGTAGGCTGAGAAGGCTTTCACTTACTTAACAGGAAAGACTTTTATTAAACATAGTACGCTTATGCTATATATGGTGTGATATCAATTTGAAGATCACTTGGTTGTGCAATAACATTTCATCTACACATTGTGCAGCCAAAGGTAAGGCAAATGCATAGATCAAAGTTGTGTATACAGGACAGTGCAGGAAATTAGCAAGGCATTGTAGAATCATACAAATGGATACGCAATCAGCAACAAAGACCAAGATCTAAACTTTAGAAAAATATCTTTAACCCCTTAAGGACACATGACGTGTGACATGTCATGATTCCCTTTTATTCCAGAAGTTTGGTCCTTAAGGGGTTAATCAATATTGCAGTTGATCTTGCTAGTATGGTGGTAAAAATGTAAATTTTACAACTGATCAAATGCAGATTTTAACATCGATCCGAGCCTCAAATGATGGTGGCTGAACCACATCTGGATTCTGCAGAGCCGCTCATTTACTGAAATCGTCAGCTGGGCACTCTCAGCCAATGAATGAGCGTCTGTGCACAGAACTGACATTAGCCAGGCTGGAACACTCATTCCGTCCTGGATAATAATGCGGCGGAAGGTGGAGATCCACCTCCAGCAGGTAGCCTACATATCTCTGTATCTCCAATTCGTACTGAAACACTGTACATACAGGGTCCTTACACCAAGACCTACTTTAAAACACTGAAATGGTCCTAGTCCTTTGAAACACGCTTTAAAGCTCAGCAGAACAAACAACTTCAAAAAGAGATCAAGAGGAGCTTTTTTTTTTTTCTAGCACAGATTAAATTAAATTCCTATTATCCTGACACTTTAGAGACCAAATCCACTCTGTGGCTCAAGACAGTCCTATATATGGATCACCGCCGCCCTTGCATCCGGAAAAGAAATCTGACTGCCTGCTATTTAGATTTAATGAAATCGTATAAGCTCTGAACTTCTACAAGAATAATCTCACAACCTGGTCACAGCTAGCTAGATCCATGCTATAAATGGCATATAACAAGACTGCGCACTACTCTGACATTAATGTGACATCTTTGATCTTACCAGATGGGGTCCAACACCTTGTACCAGTTTGGAGGAAGGTTTTCTGCGCGAGTTGCCTCGTAATCCACATGATCATCATCATAATCCTCTGCTATAATCTCTTCTGCTGGCTCTGAGCACACAGATAAAGATGCTGTCAAAACCACTGATGGTCACATCATAAGGACTACAAATGGCATTTATAGGAGGAAATACTCCTAGAGGGCTAGAGGTTAACACAGTGAAGGAGTTTAAGCAGGCGTGGGATAGGCATAAGGCTATCCTAACTGTGACGAAAGCAATCTCGCCACATTGCATTGGAGAAGCCTGGTTGCTCGCCTGCTGCCTTTGGACTATGGCCCCATGTTAAAAGACATCTTTTTCACTGCAGAAAAGACTTATTCGTGCTTTTCTGCCCGGTCTTTGGTAGATTCTCGGATTTACTGAATGAACTCATAACCCAGATAGCTATGCCATGGAGCCTATTCATGTAATAAAAGACTTTGGCTCCATGGCAATAGAACTGTATGTGTTTGTGGTCTGAGCGCCATTCAGTAATAATGTGCGCTCAGACCTAAGCTATCTGGGCATATGTTGCATGTCTGTATTTTATGTCATAAATGTAACATTGTGTATTTTATTGTATTTTACTGTCTTTTTGCTGCCATGTGTTCAATGGAGTTTTGCCTCTGTCTTTGGAGATAATTGGATTACTTCTAATTATCTCCAGGATAGAAGACTCTGTGGAACTGGTTTTGGGCAGAAAAGCCATGCTTCCTGTGGTCACAAAGGACTACGATCTATCTTTTGAACCACTGGACCAATTTGTATGATTTTGACGTATGTTTGTATTTGGAGTATGCTGATTCTGAAAATGTTTTATGTGAATGTGATGCATACTTTTCAAGTTATGAATAATGTGGAAAAATTGTATTTCTCTGCTTGTGCTAATTAAATTACCCATTGTGTAAGGTAATTGAATCACAGGCAGAGGGGAGGAATTTGTGTGGGAGTGTCTGAGTGTATTGTATGTGTTTATTGGTTGTGTTCCAAAACCCTGTGGGTGGTACTAATGTGTAAGAATGTGTACATAAGCACAATAAACCCACAGCTCTGTCTGTTCACTGCTTGACCCTCAACACGGAGCTTTGTCTCGTTCTTGGGGGGATTTACTGTATGCTGTTAGAGACTGATTGCCAGGAGTGTAAGCTGCTTGGGTGCTTTTCCTGTTCAGCTGCTAGCAGCAATTCGTGAGGTTCCAGTTCGGGAATTTGGAGTGCTACTTGGTATCCTGTTCGGGAGTTTGGTGTTCTGCAGTAGCTGTGCCTGTGCATCTGAAAGGGGAATATCGCCTAAACGTTTTTTAACATATTGTGGGCAAAACGGTCCGTTACACTAACTATAAGATAAGGCCAGGGACTAATGAAAGTATTTAGAAAGTTGGGCAGATTAGGTGTGCCGGATGGTTCTTATCTGCCGTCACATTCTAGGTTTCTACTCCCTTCTCAGACATGTTGGTCCAAATTATGGAGTTTATCAAACTACGGTTTAGAAAATAAACTACTAACAATTTTCATTGACACGGCTTATTTACTAAACCAAGCACTGTGAAAAATAAACAAAGCAGTTACAAATTCTAGCTCAAAAAAAGCAGAGAATTATTAGTGGCATTTTGGAATAAGGTTTGTAATTTCCTTGTCAGCAGGGGACAAGCATCAGTTGTGCAGAGATGATGATTATATTTATCTGACAGGTGACAACTATGTATATAAATAATTTCATACAAGGCTTAATGTACCGGTGCAGACACACAATGTGCAAAGATGGCTCACCAACCTGACTCCATATGTTTCAGAATCCCCCGCTTGGCCAGGCGGGCCTGCAGTGCCTGTGGAAGCGGCATCTCAGAGAACTTGAGGAGAAAGAATTCCAAAGCTAGAGAGAGGGAAACGGATTGTGAGCAGGTGATAGACTGTAAAAAACACACACAGCCTCCATATTGCGGGTTACACGCGGCCCCCATATTGCGGGTTACACACAGATTACATGTTACACACAGCCCCCATATTGCATGTTACAGACACAGGTTACATGTTACACACACACACACAGGTTACATGTTACAGACACACACAAACACAGGTTACAGACAGACACACAGGTTACAGACACACG